CTGCACCGCAAATTTATCAGTAAAATAGTTTAGCAGCTGAAAAGCTACATGACATTTCTCAGTAGCGAGGTTCATGAAGGAGTTTAACTTAAAGATTCGCTTTTAGTATACGCTGCTGCTGCTGAACGCTGCTGAGAGACGCATAAACGCAGGTATGCACACGCACTTAATCTCTCTCTCTCTCTCTCTCTCTCTCTCTCTCTCTCTCTCTCTCTCTCTCTCTAATACCCGCATTAGATTGCATTAATAACTGCGGTAATGTTGCTGAAATTAAATATGTTATTACCTCTGAGTCAGAGCAGCGATCATGGAAGAGAGAACACAAGCAGACAGCGCTGGAAGCTGCTAATGCTCATCAGTAAATCAGTGGAAAATAAATAGAAATCATGATTCTGTCTGAGCTATGCGTTTTAAAACAAACACTAACTAGTGTAAATGTAGCCTAACAGATGTGTAAAAGTAAAGACTATTTGAGCTTTATTAAAACTATTTTGCACTGATTTATTGTGTTGGTTACATTTTGTTCCTTTGTGCAGTGGCTCATGAGATGAGTCTTTGAGTTTGAATAAACATCAACAAGCTGAAAAATAAAACCAAAGTTTTTTTTTTAGATAATGTAATCTTGTTAAAATTGATTTCATAAAATTGGTATCGGAAAAAGTTTCGTTCAGGAACCGGTATCGAAGTCAAGGTATCTGTATCGGTATCGATATCGAAAAATTTTGAACAATACCCAGCCCTAGTCACTATAAAACTAAACAATACATATTCTTTACTTTGATTTGCAGTGTATTGCACTATATAGGGAGTCTAGGGCCAGTTGCACTTTCTACACAGTCGATAATTATCAATGCAGGTTTATTTTCTATAAAGACATACAGTAAAGTCTTGACTACGAAAACGCTATTGAGTATTTTCAGCGTTATGGTCTAGGAAAAATATAGAGGATACTGCTTTCACAGTACAATCTGCCTGTTATTATATAAACACATTAAATTAGATAGATACATTTTACACATTTGAAAAACGTGCCAACTTTATATAAACACATTAAATTAGATAGATACATTTTACACATTTGAAAAACGTGCCAACTTTATATAAACACATTAAATTAGATAGATACATTTTACACATTTGAAAAACGTGCCAACTTTTCTTGAAAAGAAAATCATAAAATCCTAAAAAATATGTTAAAATGATTAAATGAACACATTTGTTAACTAAATGTGTGAAATCAATATACACAACCACCGATTGAGAAAACACACCTTTGGGTAATTGGACTTCTGACTCAAAACCTATTAAAAATCATTACTGAAAGTGAGCTGTGTGACAACTAGCCCCAGTCTCCCCTGCTGTTGCTGTTCTTCTTGTAATATTCCTGTCTACTCGCTTTTCTGTTGTCTCTCTGCTTCTCTTTCTCTCTAAAATCCAAAACACTCTTTCTCTGTCTCTACATTCCTTCTCTGCCACTATCTGCACTGTTTTTCCCCAGCATGCCGAGGGTGCTGCTTGTTCGGGTTAAGCACTCGGAGGACGACTGGCCCTGGGGACATCATTTTCCATTACAGAGACAAGAAACCTTTTCTCTCAGATGAAGAAGGAGGGAAAAAGTCAGAGCCCTGAATTGGTTATGCTCCTTGTCGTGTTCTCTTACTCCCCCAACTCGCGATTCGTTTAGTCAATATTTAATGCCGGTGTTGTGCAGTACAGTTGTCTGTTGGCCCGATCCATGGGTTTGATCTCCATGTCTCGCCTGATCTTTCTCCAGGCTTATGGGCTTGCGCCGAGATGTGACACAGAGTCTTAAAATGTGGCACAAGCTTGTTAACGCTTACACACTTTGCTCAGATGCAGTGCAAAGAAAGAAAAGGACATATAGATGGAAGAATAAAGAAAAAAGCCAGATGCATTACATGCATTTAGCACAACTGCTCACTTTATCCACACACAGTCACGCACGTCTCACCCTGCCTGCAGCAACTAATGCCCTCTACGCCCCACCTGAGTATAGATGTCAAGCGGCGTAAAGTGTAAAGGTGGTATTTTTCTTCTTTAAGCAGGGCAGATGGGCAAGGTTTGGTCTGAGCAGGCCCAGGCTGAGCCGGTGGCCAAGCCAGACTGTCTTAATTAGGAGCTGGCCGCTGCCAACGGCAGGTGAACACATCTGGGACGCCATATTGGCCGCAAGCGCAGCAGGTCTTGGAAATAGTGCAAGCCTTGGAATATTCGACAGGAGCAGAAACAAGCGATTCCCCCTTTTTTTAACCCCCATACTACAACCCAAAAGTGAGCAGTAATACATCTACACGCCACACAGAGTCAAGCTTCCACGCTGCGCGAGCCTGCCAGATATTAAAAGTCTCTGTCTTTGGAGGTTTGCGTTCGTTTTGCGTGCTGCCAAGGCCCGAGCAGCCCCAGAGTGCTATCAATTACACACATTCTGCTGAAAAGCTGAAATTCAGCTCTGAGCGCAGTCTGACAGGATTCAGCAGTATGTGCACGTCCGTGCGATGGCTATTGGACGTTTGCATTTCCTTTGTCCCCTGTACCTGCCCTCCACTGCCTTTGTTTGGAAAGAAGACGACACAATCACAGCGTGTCGCACTTAAAGCACCTTATAATGAAGTCAAGTCCTCCCTTCTGTACAGACACACACACACACACACACACACTCGATCATGCTTGTTCGCCCCACTGAGCTATACCTTCCTCATCAGTGCTTTACCCAACGTCATCATTTCTGCCTCCATAAACTCAATGCATGCTCCTCTCCTTCTCTCTCAACGCACTCCCTTCCAATTACCGTGCCAGTTCATTTATTCATTAACCCGGCAAGGAAAATCGAGGGAGACCTAATTCAAAAACAACCGCCCTCCATTTCTCTCCATCTGGTGGGGAGGCTCGATTCTCCAAACACGTTCAAGTGACTTAATCTGGTTAAGGTGCAGTTTAGCGTCTGCAGCGGAGTTTGGTGGGGGGATTAAGGAATGGATCGCCGTGCCAGTCCATTTTCATTAAAAGCACATTCCAGTGACCAAACTGGTACAGGAAAGTGACATGCATGGAAGTATGGACTAATCAAAAAACAAGCGTATAAAAGGCAAGGCGCCGTTGCACTTGATTACAGAGGCATTGACTAATTTACTTAATTTGTCAAAAAGGAATGCGGTTTGGAACTGAGTTAGAATTAATTTATAGTGATTTGAGTGCTAGCATGCTAGTGCACTTAAACGCTAAACGTGCTTTGGCTATTTGAAGCGTTGTATTTCCAAATGCCATTAGTAGAATTTCCTATCTCCAAAAGTGGAGAGTAAAATTAAAGTTTAGGAAAAGTAAAAGTTGGGAAACATAATTGATTTGAGCCTTCCGGCTACGGCAACCGACATTCAATCTAAATTAAGTAAATATTGTAAAGCCAAATTAGGCATTGGACTATAAATGATTTACTACTTAAATGCATTCAACAAAAAAATTAATCTTTTCTACTTGTGCTGCAAAAAGCCAGTGGAATTTAAAATGTTTTTTTTTCTTTTTTTCTGTCGGGAATGTCACTCATGGTGTTCTAACATAATCTTATTCACAAACAGTAAAGACAAATGGGACTTTAACGTAATAAGCAGTCCATTTCCAGCTTAAAAACATCTTAAATCAGTCTAAGCTTATTACTGGTCTTGCTGGACTAACTTTGCACTTTCTTAGCTGGTCAGGCTGGGAGATCAAATGGCTAACCTTGGCCAGGCTGGAAGGTTAACTAGACCAGCTTGAAAGACCAGCAAACCATCTGGTCCCAAGTCATTTACTAACAACTATCTTGAGCTGTGACATGAAGGGAAGGTGGAAAGATGCAAATATCTCATTTTACACTTTAAAGGGCCATCCAAAAAAACCTACTGCTGGTAAAATTTTTTAATTAAATATAATGAAATGCTCAGGATTTATATGTTGTTGGCAAAATAGTACATTTAGTAATTATACATGGCTACTTATAAATGTCTCTCAAGGTTTTTGCCCACAGAATAGTGTATCAGCATCTACGAGTAAGGGCTAGAAGGGCCGTGATAACTAGCAAACCCCTGACCCCTTAGTAAGGACAAACTGAAGTTTTCAGTTGCGTGAAACACATAACGGTAAGTCAAGCAGCATTCCTATTCATGTGTTGGCAAAAAAATTGTGTGTAATGTGTGCAAGTTTGTTTTGCCATAAATTTAAGACAACCATAAAAATAATGATCATGTTGATCTATGGACAAATCTCAACATTCCGACCAGAATCAAATGATGCTACATTTTCCCAGTAGACAGCAGTTGAATTACATCCCAATTCTGCGGCTAAAGTTTTCGTCTGAAACATGTCTGCACGCTCAATTGGGAAAGCAACGAAAAACAAGTTACCCTCAGAGATTTATACTTCTGATCCTCTAAATCCTTTTTTATCTTAATCGAGTATAAGGCAGTAAATTGCTCCAGCTCTGCCTCCTCCCTGTCTTTCCCTGCCTGTATGCTAATACTGTTTGACATATTTCGCAGGAAGACGGAGCATCAATATTTATCAATTCATAATAAGACAGAGGCGCTGACATGCGCTAAGATTACAGTTTAATTAAAACTTGAGTAGCCAACTAATATTCAGTTCTTAAACAGACACATCATATGCCAATGCATTATCTACTCATTTAGATCTTGCATCATTGAGAAAGAAGGCAGACAGGGAAATCAGGAAGGAGAACATGACATGCGGCTGCAAGATCATCCCTATTCCCTTTCTACTGCTGTTCTCTGCATTTGGGCGTAGCTGTCAGAGCTGAAGCTAAAATAAACCTTGCCACACTGGTCTGTATAAAAAATGGATACCTCTGGTTCGAGTTCTGCACAGCCAAAACACAACTGATGCCAAATTCCACCTGCCAGCAAGAGATCCTGAGGTGGCAAAGGGAGCACAGAGGCAGTGCCAACCATGCCACCAATCTGGAAATCACAAAGAAGGCATCCACTTACCAGTCTTGTGACAAGGGGCACCCCGAAATGCCAGAAGGGATCGTTCAGCAGCCCACTGTACACTACGTTTCCAAAGAGAGCAATGCTTCCTGTTTTACACAGCCCGTTTCCTGGTTTGGTTTCTGCAGAAGGAGAAAATTTTTTTTGGAACAGGTTAAACACCAATATACAATGACTAGAAACAAATAATAATTATAATAATAATAGAAATGAAGATAGGAGAGAAGAAGAGCTAAATAAACAATTAAGGTAGGATGTAAAGAAAGAAGAACGGAAAAAGGAAGGAAGGAGGGAAGGAAGAAGAAAAACAAAGGAAGTAAGAAAAGGAGGAAAAAGTGAAAGAAGGAAAGAATTAAAAATGGAAAGCAGAAGTCAGAAGAATGGAAGGAGAAAAAAGGAAGCAAGGAAGGAAGGGAAAAAACTAACGAAGAGAAGGATGGAAAGGAGGGAGGAAGGACAAAACAAAGGAAGTACAACATACAAAATACAACAATAATAAAAGAAGTAATAAAGGAAGAAAAAATAAAACATTATAGGAAGAAAGGAAGGAAGGAAAAACAAACAAAGAAAGGAAGAAAAAATACTGTAGGATAAGAAGGAACGGACATTATACACGAAGGATAAACAATGGAAGGAAGGAAGGAGAAAAAAAGAAGGAATTAAAAGCAAGTAAGAAATGAAGGAAAAAAATAAAGAATGTATGAAGGATAGAAAGACAGAAAGAAGAAAAAAAGTATAAAGGACGGAATCAAGGAATCAAGGAACAAAAGAAAAAAATGAAATGAAGAATGCAAAGAAAAAATAAGGATGGAAGAAGGGGGAAAAAACAAAAAAAGAAAGGGAATGAGAGAATAAAAGAAATTTTTTTTTTCTTTGATTCCACATGATTCCAAATGTAAGAGACAAACACAAATATTTCTCTGACAATCTGAATACGTCACATCCATAAACACTCGTTCTCTTTGCTGTTTGGTGCGCATCAGTCTGTGTGTGAGTGGCATGGTGTGAGTAGAAAAGCTTGGCATGTGATCAACAGTGGGGTCAGCCCTGCTTACACAGCAAAGCAAACTAACAGCTGCATTCAACCTCCTTTGGGTAACACACACACACACACACACAATGATCGGTACTCACAAAGACAAAAAAGAAAACATGACTCTGACATCACACCACCACACACAAATACGCACACTATATCCCAGCAGTTCAGTTTAAAAAAAAATCCCCATTCCCCCAGTCTGAGAGCGGACTCAAAGAAGCAAGTGCGAAGATTGCGATGTGTATTAAATTATTCCCTATAAATGCCAAGTGCAGCAAAAATCTGCATTATGCCTCAAAACAATAGTGAAGTGCACCACAGCAAGCCATGCATTCATTATTGAAAAACAAAAAGTAAAAAGGCCCATTAAAATGTCACTTGTGCTCTTTGTGGCTGCGGCGACACATGAGTTTTAGTGTTATAAATGGGCCTTGCGTTATTGTTTATGGTGGCTGCTAGCCGCAGGCTACCCAGCGGTGACTGTAAAGTCCACGGATCACACACCACGAGCCTCCGATGCCACTCCCTCCCTCTCTATACATCACACATGAATATTCATGCCACAGGGCCACACTACAGCCAATCGATCACAACTATAACGCATTTATATCCATGATACATGTGGCTGATTTTTTGGTGTCTAGGAATAAAAAGATATGGCCTAATTAGCAATAAAACAGCCGCTTCGCCGTAGATTTGGAGGCCGAGCGGCGTTCCTGCTCTTTTCGCAGGTGATGTAATTCAGACCGCGGCGCGTTGCATCACAGGAAAATGTCGTAAGGTGAGACTCGAGGCGGGGAGGGATGGCTGTCATCACGTTTGAGGCTTCCCTGCTGTCTGTTGGCACCGGTTGAAGCTCCTTTGGCATCCGTGGGCATGTTTCTCACCATGCCTCACCTGTGATTAATTATTGACGGCGAGATGAGGATGCGGTAAAGTAAAGCTGCACTGACATGCTACACTGCAGATACATTACAACAACCCCCCAGGCTGATTCACTATCTCCCTGTCTCTTTTTCTTCCTTTCCCCTGGTTCTCACTCTTGCGCTTTGGCTTTAAAGCCCCCTTCTCACTCTCTCTCTCTGACAACCTATCCTTACTCTCTCTATCTCACTCTGCCCTGCAGTTTGGCAAATTTGACAAGGGCTTTAAAAACTGAGCCAAATGTCAAAGTTGTCATAAACAGTGTGTGAGGGGGAGTATTGTTGGTTTGATAAGGAGGCAATAACAGTTTGATTTAAGGCAGAAAAGAGTGTCATCACATCTTAATCTGCCATCGGCATATCTCGGTCCAGGGTTTGTCTGCGCTGCGCACTCATGCAGATGAATGGAGGAGTTTAGGTTGAAACTGAGACTGCATTATCTAGCATTTCTCTGCAAGGATGACAATAAGTGCCGTAAACGATCCCTGCCTGATCTGTGGGGATGCACCCGGCTTTGAATCTCAAGTGTGACGTGAGAGTGGAGGATTCTAGGGCCATGATAACATAATAATCAGAGAAGAAACATAAATAGAAATTTACACTATAAAACAACTCTATAAATGTGGAAATAAATCACTTGGCAAAGGCTTTAACTGAAAAACAAATGCTCATTATGAATTGCACAAAAAAATATATAACAAATGATACGCTTATTTTTCGCAGAACTGACTTTTCAAGTTTACACAGGTGTCACTGCAGAATAAACATAGGTATGTTATCATATTCCACAAACGTTTGGGTAAAACATTCTTACTAATTAATTGCAATCCTTATTTAAACAATCTCAATTTTGATCGATAAAATCCCAAGATCAATATTTTTATTCTAGCCAGTGTTTCCTGCGCCACTTTTCATCAGTGAAGCAACACACGTTCCTCTGTTGAATATACGATCCAGCGGCAAGAGAATTCATATTAAATATAAGTTTGGAATCCGAAATGAATGTGAAGAGATAAAAAGGAAGCGTATTGCTAAATAATAGCAAGAAAACACACATTTGTCCTTTGGGTAATCTGATTAAAAAACTAATTGATTTTTAATTTATCAAAAATACACTGCGCAAATGGTGTAGTCCAATTCAAGAACAAATAAGTCTTACAAAATTAAGTGATTAGTCCTTAAATGAATACTTCAAGTCAAGTGATTGAGTGCATCATTTAATGATTTGTTGAAATTGCTGATTCATTCGGGAGTGAAAAACATGACCGTATAAGAGCACTCACAATCTTGATGTATTTTTCCAAATATCAGCACAGCTGTGATTATGTGTTTTGTTTGTATAAGCAACATGATTTCTAGATGTTATTCACAATTTGTACAGTGTCCCAACTTTTTTGGAATTGGGTTTGTAAATAAAACAAAGATTTGATTTCAAAGAAAATAGTTCAATCTTTCTACTGTACTTCAAAATTTCATGTTTACTTGCCATTTCTTTGTAATTACAGTATTTGTAAAACAATTACTAGTAATTTCTGACTAAAAACTCCTATTTTTACACAGGTTTGCATAGGAAATTAAATTTAAAGCTTATTTTAATCTTTAGTTTTTGGTTGTGTTGATCTGTTAAATCAACAGCACTGGAAATGCATAGTTTGGGTCCTCTTGTTAATTTTGAAATATTATATTTTAATGTACCAAATGAAAAGGTTCCATTTATAACTGACAGTAATAGCTGAAAGAGAAATGCTCATATTACCAAAATGAACATTAGAACTACAGTAAAATATATGCAAAATGACAGAAAAGGAATCAAACAGTGAAAATCCACCAACATTTAACAGCCAGAATGTGTCTGAAAATCTATATGTGTATTGTTTTAGAATTCGAAACAATGTTTTGCTTGAAAAGCGTGTTTGCAGTATCTTTCTCTATCACGGATGACACTTGGTTTGATATTTTGCTGCGTAATGCACTGACATTCATACATTTTTAAATGTGGTCCAAGTGCCCAAATACTTTTAGGGGCCACTGTATAAAAATAACTACCCACAACACTGCAAAATATATCAAAATCTTGCACTTGTTATTGCCAAGTGAGCAACAGGGATGACATAATGTCTGTATTCTTCCGGCTGGAAGCTTCCTCCCACAAGCCTTGCGGCTCTGGCAGTGGCCATCCTGTCCTGGGCCTGTGCTTCCATTAGCCACACTGACCCGGATCTGTTCTGGCATCACTCTGATACTAGACCGGTGGACTTGGCCCTTCCTCTCAGCGGGGCAGCTCTGTCAGGACATCTGTCCAACCCAAACACACCAGCCACACCAGCCTGTCCATATGGCAGTCCCACCCTGCCTGTTTCTGGGCCAGAGTCTGATTCACAAGGGCTGGAGAAAAAGAAGTCCTCTTCTTCCAGAGCCCTCTCCAGGGCATCACAACGCCTCTCCAAACGATGTATTCATTACCCCTCCTGTACCTTGGGGATGCTCAAAAGCCTTGTTTCAGAGCGGGGAGTGTGGCTGTGTCTGTTTAAACACTGCTCCAGTCCTACTTAATCATGTGCAGTTGGAGGGGCAGTCCGTGCCGGTGCTCTGATTAATACAGCATGAAGCTGTGGCGGCAGACATAGCTGCAAGGTACGCAAGGCATTAATAACCGTATGCTGCCACTGTTTCTGCCGCTACCTCCGCCTTCCTGAAGTCTAGAGAGACCATGAGTACAAACACACACAAATACCAACTCGTAAGGTGTCGTGGAGCCTGGACGCTGTAAATATCGTCATGGGAAAACACTGGCCCAGAGATCCATCTCTGGTAATTGCATTAGAGCACGAAAATAGATTTTTTTAATTCATGCAATTTGTCAATCAGCCTAATCCTGACTAATCATCATCATTTGTGGTTCATAGGTTCACAATAGCGGAATATCATGATCATAATCATTGCTGTCATCATCACCAATACAGATGATTTTCGTAACTTACCACGGATTCTTAAAATTGTGGCAAAAACAAAAAGTGATACAAAGTGTAATGGAAATGAAACAAACTATACTGTACATTGACTTCCATAGCCACTTTTTGTATTGTGTTTTCATAGATTTGTCTGGTAAAATAAAGTAAACCAAGGGGCAAGGGCCCACTCTTTAAAATGATTAATATAT